GCTGTAGAGGAACCCATTTCTCAATCTTGCTTCTGGTTCCTGTAAACTGCTGGGGTTGTGCGCCCTACCCATGTTTGACTGGAGGACACCTGCAAACGGAAGGCTCCCTGCACTTCATCAGTCTCCTTAACTACAGGAGCAGTTTGGACCTACAGGGCCTTTTATGGCAATGCCCTGCCCCTGGCCCTGCCTGGACTCCCCTGCAGTGCCCGCCATCCACAGAGAGCTGCTGGAGATCTTGCCGTGCCCTTCACCTCTGGGCTTAGCCCTTTCCTGCCCACTGATTCACGGCCTCTCTTTTTTTCTTTTCTTTCTTTTTCACACCATGGCTCGTGCCTCATTTCATTCATGCTGTTATTCAACCAGCATCTTTTGACTGTGGGAGATGGTCCCGGGCCGTGCTGGCAGCCGAGGATTCAGGCGTGGACAAGAAAACTGCTCCTAGAATCGAGATAGTTCTTTAGGTACATGCTGTTATCCAAAGTGCTGAGTACAGAGTCAAGGAGGTGACAGGACCAGAGCAGGGCAGAGAGAGCATGGCCCCACCCAGGACTGGGGGCAGGGGAGCAGGGCATACAAGGGATGGATGGCCCCTGAGCTCTAACCTTCAATCGTGCACTCATTTGATGAGAATGCAAATGCGCCAGTATGTGCTAGAAAATGGACCCCAACCTCCAAGAAAGGCAAAGAAAAGAGGCCTGTGGCCGTCACTGCCATGGTTGGTTTCTAACAAGTCCGCCAAAGCTCATTGGACTTTATAGTTATGTTGACTTAATCATTTACAATAATTAAACATTGTATAGCTTGTTAAGGGCAAAGTTTAATTGGTAGAATAAACCAAACCAAACTCACTGCCATCGAGTCGAGTTGGCCTCATGGGGACCCTATGAGACAGAGTAGAACTGCCCGGGTGGGTTTTATGTGAGTAGAAAGCTTCATTTTTCTCTAGAGAAGAAGCTGGTGGTTTTGAACTGCTAACCTTGCAGTTAGCAACTTAACGCATAACTTGGTATGCCACCAGGGTACTACATATTTGTTTGGGGATTAAAGAATGCAACTGTTTCAGGTTCCTTCCCAGTTCACCCTCCCACCCCCCACCCCCAATAGCAATGCAAATGATCTTAGCCATGGAGTTGATTCCAACTCTTAGCAAACATGCAAATGAGCTATGCCAGCACTAGAACTTTAGCCCGTTTTCTATCTAATTTATCAATCTCATTCCAAGTTTCTTTTCCTTCTATCACTGGCTAGAGGAGGACATCATATCTGATCAAATAGAAAGCCAAATCTCCTGTCAACTTGAGTGGAGTCTAGCCTCAGCTTGCACCTTGATGACCTCATTTGGAGGCATGATGGAGATAAATAGCTCACTAGAGACCAGACCTGTTCTCTCTGCCTCCCCTTTCCTCCTGTTGACACACTCAGAGCTAGAGGAGACACGGGGAGACCCAC